GTCACTAAATATCATTTCAAAACAAAATCTGGGCGCTTACATAACATACAATTCGACATCACTAAAAGAAACGGTAAAAACGATAGGAAAAGCAAGCAATACATTACATTACTGAGCAATAGGGTTAGGAATGTGGAAAAGAGTTCAACGTCCTCGAGTTATACAGTGTCAGTTACAGTGTCCAACCAGCGGTTCTCTAAGCAAATAGCTAAAGTCAAAGTCTATAAGCGTCTCTTCTTTTGTCGCGTTAGTCCGGGTCGTTCTTTCATCTTTTTGTCTTTAATGTCGCTCAATTCTTAATTATACAGTCCTATCCGGTACTGGTCCTTCCGAAGGGGTTCAGAAGTCTTCATCTCTTCAGCGTTGTACATCGGTGTCGTTCGGGTAAAGCCGTTAGTCGTCAAACGCAGTTTCCGAGTCGTCTCTGCCATCGCTGCTAGTTCGGTTCACAAGAAAGACACACCTTCGCCATTTCACTTCTCTTCACAGGATGTCAATGTGCGTAAGACGCAATGCCCAGGGTTCTCACACCACGTATGAGGGGGAAAATCTCTTTCTCTCGGGTTCTCCACACTTTCAGGGGGGAAACTCGTCTCGTCTCTCTATCTCGTCCCCTTGAGGTACGGGATCGGGAAAGTCACTTTAACTTTACAGTCAAATAAGACACACACAACGAAATACGTTTCAGCTCTCGTCTTAGTCGATCTTTTGGAGCACTCTATAAGACACAGCGCCCTGGGGAAAAGTCCCCAAGACTATCCAAGGCTGAACCAAGACTCGCCCAAGACTGGACTGCGTCAAGGCTCGCCCCTGGACTCTCTCGGACTCTCAGACTGGACTCGACTGCCCAAGGCTGCGTCTGTCGTGGAGTATTCGCCAAGACCAACTCAAACTCTCTTTATTCATTTTCAAAACTCTAACCAATTACAAAGCAGTAAAAAGACTCTAAGGCGTAAACTTCAATCATAAAGCCAATCACACTAAGTACTGAATACGTCATATCTTTTGATTAATCGTTCACTACATTAATAACTACGGATGTCAGAATAGCGACGGTATCTTGTAATTAGTTCTAAACCACTGAGCCAAGTTCCGTCCAAAACTTCAAATAGACCTAAACGATGACAGACATAACACAGCAATTCAGCTAATAATCAGTTAATTAAGTCAGTTAACAGATACGCGAAAACAAATTCATGACATAACAACAGTTAATGAAGGTATCGAATACAAATATAAATACATGTAAATATTCGTGGGTCGATTTTACTTTTTCTGATTTTTACATTTTTCACTTGGTTCCTATACACTATGCACTCTCTATACAGAAGGAGGCATTCCTGAAAAATGATTTTAAAAATAAACTATACATAGATACTAATATTTTGTGCCGACATTATATTTTCCTATTTATGAATTGGCGGAACAATCTCGGCAGGCATTTTACAATTTCAATATGCACATTGGTGTTACAATTGTTTCTATTATAAAGCTTTTAAATTGCTAAGACTCCCTAAGCTTACAAGTTTATTTTTGGTGATGTTGGAGTTTTGGAGTCACTGTACATGTCTATTGTGCGCAGTAACTCGGAGCACTTCTCTCGTTTTTGGTGACCGTCGCTGAAATACTTAATGGCTCGAACAGGCACATATTAAATTTATCAAATATTTCTACTACAAAGTTTAAATATTCTTTCACTCTAACATGTACATCGATTTATGAAAACATTTTTGCATTTTTAAACTTAATCACGTAGAAATGTTATATACCTAATATTTTTGTTTAAATAAATTATTGGTATATGTGACTTATTCTTCGTCTTGGAAGAAATTCCTTTTGATGGTTCATTATTTTTGCTGAAGGAATGAATTAGTAAAAAAATAAACTTCATACAGTCAAATGATTTTCATGCGAAATTAATTCCAACTAAAAAAAAGAACTCTACATTACAAAATTACATTCAAAATTGCTTCAAGACGACAAATTTTCGAATAAACTGTGTGTATCAATTGAAAGATGGTCATGATAGATATATTCGAAGCTTAAAAGAAATCGAGGCGTTCATGTTATGAGAATGACATTTAGAACTACGTGCTAAACGTTTAAAAAAATCAACACTTGATGATTTTACTATGTATGAATACCCGTTTATTCAGCTATTTTAGATGCAATTTTGACCGGACTCCGACATTTTTCAACTGCGCTTCTTCTGATATTATTCATTAAATAATCTTTCAAATGGAAGGTCATTCTTTTCAACGCCAAGCTCTATCAGCGACCCAGTAACGCGTAGTAGTCAATTAATAACAGTGTAAATAACGAAAAGATTCAAAGGTTCGTTCTTTATTTCTCATGACTATGTTATCCAAATTAGGCTTGATTTCTAAACGTGTCCCACATATGTGAACTAATTCTCCGAATGGACATTGCAATAGTTAACTCTAAAAACGAGCATATACGCACAAAGCCGTGCGCGAATTATAAGACTTCAAAATTTAGTATACCAGCAAGGAAAGCCAACTGATCAATGTGAGTGACAGCACGACTCATTCTAGTCAATAGATCAATATGTAAGCTTTGCCAATACATGGCATCATTCTATGTAATGCTGTTTGCATTAACTTAAGGCGATGTATTACAAAATCCATTTTCAACAAAATAGGATGTACGATTTTGAATTCAAAATAAAGTCATATTTTGAGCGAGAGAACTGTGCGAAATACAAAAATGACGAATAATTGGACCTTAGAAACTGTTTACACGTGAACACTGTGAATTATTATTTAATCACAAACATATTTTAAAACCCCTATCAAATATAATGGAACTTTCGATATTCAAATAATTGTAGAGTACTTTTCAACTGTTGTATGGCGAAGCGAAAATAAACAGCGCTTGTAACTTTGTTGGGGACATTGCAATGTTTCAATGATCATTGATTTGAAATACGGGTTTTCATGATCAGCGCCCGCTAGTAACATGTTCGTGAACTACAAGTCCGGTAGCGCCAGGTAAGTGATATGTAATTAGTTACTTGGATTTAATGCTTAAAATAATCTAAAAGTTAGTATACGTGTCACAACGGAATATACATTGCGTCATATTAACAACCAAGACATGCTAACTGTGTTATTAGTTGACAAATGGAACACGTATTGCGTTGTTCACTTCCTCATCTTTAATTTCTATTCTGACCGACTAAATTACGTCGCAGTTAAAAACACAATGCGAGACAATTGTGTGTTGAAAAATAAATTATGACACATTTAAGCCTGGCCTGGTACTATTCTCGCTATTTAGATATCATTTTTGGCAAGAATTTGACAAAGCATGAAATGATATAAGATAATTCGCAAGACACAAAATGCCAAATTTTTATGACGACCTTTGGACGCTGCACACATTGCACTCATGACTCTGACGACAACGTAAGCACTTTGGCACATTGCCAATTTGTGCTATTGTTAAACTTACGCAGTGTGTGTCGCGTGATTTCTATGCGTCGAGACATATACTCTTATAACCTTTTCATCTTGAAACTTTAAACTTTTAAAGAAATGTAGGAAATGTTACTTTCATAACAACTTTTTAAAAAATAAAACTAAGAAACTAGACAAGACTAAAGTCGACATATTTAGATCACACGTCATAATTCCCGCAGTTAGTCTTGAACCCAAGTTCATGTATTTCAGAGTAATTACTGTTACTTAATTTTGCAGCAGAATTGCCAAAGAAAAATAAGTGGTATTTATTTATTTATTTATTTATTTATTTATTTATTTATTTATTTATTTATTTATTTATTTATTTATTTATTTATTTATTTAGGCATGGGAACTATACCACGAAGTGACGTATTTATCGTCACTGACTGTGACAGCAGTGAAGATGAGAGATGGGTTCGCCAGTTCGTGAACGATCTGGAGTTAAACCATGACATACAATGCCTATTTGCCGAGAGAGACTATGTTCTTGGTCATTTTGACCATGACAATCTTATCAATTGCGTTAATCAGTCCAAGAAACTTGTCTTAGCGTTATCGGAGAACTTTGTTAAATCTCCGACGTGTTTGTTAGACATGCATTACGCCATTCTTACTAAATTCCAGAGAAATGATATAATCGTAGTGCGCATTGGTCTGACGTTGGACAAACTTCCACCAAATCTTGGTCCCTTTACTATCCTTGATGCCAAAAAGCCTAGATTTATGAATGACTTCATAGAAGCCTTTCAATCAGGTATATTGTATTCACTCACAGGAACAACCCCAATTAATTTCCAAATTGTTTGCCAGGTGAAACATTTCAGACGTGCAAGGACAGGACACTTGTGGTTTATCAAAACTCAGATTACAGGTCAGGTCGCAGAACAGGTTACAAGTTAACAATTAAATTGTTATATTAGGACGATCATTTACTAGCAATGGAACCATGAACTTATAATTAGTAGTCATATAAGTGAGCGGTGGAACGGGTCGAGCACTAGTGTAACTTCGAATTCGGTGGGACGGTGTCAGTGCCTGAATATCATTCTGTTTGCAAAACAGTTGGTTGCGTGCGCAACGTTTTCGATAGTCTGAACACTTGAAGCGCACGCATCTGTTTTCCCCACAAAGATGTTAATTTTTAAAAATATTTAAAGGTTTCTTCCATTATATTACGTGCATTATTTATATACATTTTGTTTCTTTTTCTTGTTTCTTTCCTTGTTGCATGTACGGAGTGAAAACGAACATAGTAAACGCTATATTTCAGAGCAAATAGCTAATTCAGGATATCCAGGCTAAGCTTTATTTATTTTATCTGGCCCATACAATAACGATATCGAAATGTTATAAATTTATACAAAATATCAAAAGCAAAATCATAATCTGTGAATGTATCAATAAAATAAATATATAATGTCAATGTTTTAAAATTTGACCTTAATATAGAAATGTAGATCAATATATCACTTTCACTTTGCGTATTTCTTATTGATATTCAATTGTTTGTTGAGTTAAACTGGTTTTCCATAATAAAAACTGTAATAAATTACGTCACTGTTGATAACCTGATATTTTCAAATTATTTCTATTTTGTGTTGATAACAGGGAACTTTTGATTAAAGTACATTTAGTAAATGTTTGATTTCAAAACAAATTTTGTGAAAGTCGAATACAAGCCCTTCTTATAAGTAATCACATTACCACAAATTTGATTAGAACTAACGTCGATTTCGATTTCTCTCTTGTAGATTCTCCAAGTTGGAAAGATGTTAGTATTCCCGATATGAGAAAATCAAGGAGTAGCATCACATTGGCAAAATTGATCCCTCAACCAGGGGCAGCCATTATAATCACGGGTATGTTCATTGTGATCGACTCGCTTGATATATCCCAAAATCCTTTGCACAGCGTGTAGTGTAGTAGTGTAGTGTAGTGCAGTGTAGTCACTTGTTTTGTGTTTTTCATAGATATACTGAAGAATGAAAATTACGTAACTACACTTCGTAAATTAACAGATTTCATGCAGTCTGGTGAGTTAGTCTACGGTACTACTGCCTTAAACCGAAACCATTTTTTACATTCATTGGGAAAATACTGTGTGGAATGTCAATTCAGTTTACATCACACGAAGTATCAAAACGATTAGCTGCAGGTTAAAGTGAGACATAAGAAAACCACTAGCACAATTCATATTCTTATTGTCTTACTAAGGATCGTGGGTGGAAGTGAATGACTATAGAAAACTGTTAGTGCAAAAGAGGAAGATGGAACCCAAATATTTTAGAGAATACTGGGAGGAATGTCAATTAGTTTACTGTAAAACATGTTGAAAAAGCGGCATGAAATTTTAGCAAATTGTTGTAAAATGACGTAATAGCGAAATGTTGGTTTAGCGAATCTTTCTTGCCATTGTTGATTTCTTTGTTTGGCGGCCATTTTGAATTGACAATAAAGTCATTAGCGACATCTTGAATTAGCGAATCAGTTCTCTAGCTAAATTCGCGAAAAAGACATGTTTTACAGTACATCACACAAAGTACAAAAATGATTGTTAAATCCGCAAGTTAAAATGAGACATAAGAAAGCCACTAGCACAATTCATATTCATATTATCTTACACTAAGGATCGTGGCGGGAAGTAGATAAGTATGAAAAACAGTTAATGAAGCAGAAAATGGAACCTAAATCTGATCTCATCATTGAACAATTAGTATATGTGAGTTATTTACATTGTATTCTCGTAAAAATCAAATCGTAGTTAAATTGATTCTTCGAAAATTATTCTCAAAATACAATAAGCAATTCTCAATTTATTAAGTAGTATGCTGTATCAAGTAGGGAAATGTACCACACATAGTTATCTGTTTTAAATGAACAACACCTTGGTACACAGATCGCGATTTGTTCATGTTTGAGAAATGACTTCAACAAAGCCGATAAATTAACATCGATAGCGCAGAACTGTGTGGAACGTGCAGAGAACAGAGATTTACTGGAAGGTAGACTCAATTATCTGATAGGATACCGCCATATGAAAGAAAGGAACTTTGAAAAAGCGTTTTGTCATTTTGACAAAGCATTAACAGTGAGTTATTTTTCTTATTGTGAACTAATGTGTTCACTAAACTCGTATATCATATTGCGTAGACTGTTCCAAACAACCTTGACATACACTTGTGTAAAATAGTTTCCAGTCAACATGCAACATTGCACGGGCTGTGATTTTGACGGTATATTGTCAATCAGATTTACGCTATCCTACGGTTTGCTTTAGCCACTAAATCTAGGTTCAATTATTTTAAAGGTGTTCAAACAGTTTGGCCCCACTTTCTGGCTTGGAACGGTCTATATGCACTGGACATATACGAGATACAAAACTGGTGGATACGAAGACACGGTGAGTGTGATTGACTGCTTATATAAATTGGTAGCTGGATAATCAAGCAACACTCTTGAATAACGTTGAATTTTTCATTTCCCAAAATTATGTTTTGAAATTCAAGCTGGTTGAAAATAAGTGCGCTCCTTTAATAAATATTATTTAATCTTCTTACTTCTTACTTCAGGATGCAGTTATTGCAGATTTAGAGATATCTGCGTATATATTAGGTGAGCCTGGTCATGGGCTAACATACTACTTGAAACAAAGAGTTTTGTTTATGATGGTTGTCATTTTGTTGGACTGTGACTCCTTAGAGGGGAGGGCAAGAAATCTGAACTCTGCTGAACAGAAGATCATTAGAGCGCAGGGAATTATGAACCGATATTACTCTACACGTGGAGACCATAGGTACCAATCAAAATATGCTGAATGTCATAGTCTACTCGCAGAAGCATGTTATCACTACCGTCTTGGGCAAATACAGAAGAATCGAATTTCCGCTATGGGACAAGAATACACAATGGGAAAAGAATATGCTGAAAAAGGGAAGCGCATCGCTATCAAGTACGGATTTCAGTCAGAACTACATTATATTAATTCCTTTTTGATTGATTTTGAACGCCTATCAAATACAAATTCTCGAGTACCTTTTACTGGTTGCGAAATTATCCCGATGACCCAATGAATGATTTGACGGTGAAAAAAAAATGATATAGAATAGAGAAAGCAGCGAGTTTAAATGCGAGAGAGGGCGCTCTATTTGTCATAGAATTCTCCACCATTGAGCAGCGGGTAGAAGGTCGTGATGGTGACATGGTAGAATTTAAAGACCTGCATTTGTGACAAACGACACAGTTATGGCGATAGCCCCCCCAATACAAGACATGTAATCCTGGTTACTGCGTTATATTAGAAAAAAGTGCAGTTCCACAGCCGTACAGGACAATGCGCGTGACAATAGTGTATATTTGACTTGCAAATAGATTATTTCAACTCAACCCATTGTATCGATGATTGCACGTTCTACTTAATACACGTAGGGCATGGCAAACATCAATCACGATTATGCCAATTGAAAAATATATTGTGCTTACTGAAAACCAATGATATAATAATAATAATAATTATTTTTGTATCAAGTGGTCAATGAGGTCGATAGAAAAACGACACGACTGCCAATACTAACGTTATATGATAATGTGCTATATGGTTTCAATATTTACTCCAATTTACAATGATCAACATAATTTACATTAGTCGATGAGAGAACTTAGATTTTCTATTTTACAATGTTATTAACAAGAAATTACGTAATTGCAATAGATGTAAACAAGTATTTAATAAACATCAATAGACTAAGAATTACATAATAACGAGTATATATAATACTAGTAGTTATACTAGGCTATGCTAGTTATTAATTATACTATGAGGTTATCACGAGGATAACTCAAACTATGCACGAAGACAGTACAGCGGGAGTATCGATGCTACGGCGTACTGTCTGAGTGCATAATTTGAGGTATCCTCGTAATAACCTTATTATTATACATCTTTCACTTCCAAGGATACATCATGGGAATGCCGAAATCCAAAAAGTTCAGAACAGAGTCAGCGAACGTCTTTGTGTGGAGCTTGGTCAAACCCTGGTGGCAGTCATGTTTGTTTTTATTTACAAGCCCGAATCTGGCCGGTAATGTGAGGGCGCTTACACTAATGGCAAGTCTGTTGGGATTTCGCGGTCACATGACATTCGCGTTCACTTCTCGTTTACGCAATTGATATTTATTTTTCAACAATTTTTCATCGAAATCGCAACAGACTGCAAGCAGGTCTAACATTTGTGGTGTTCTTTCATTCTGAAGCATTATGTTGTTTGCCCGAATCTACAATTCACACCATTCTGTTCAGTTGTCTGATTTACCCAAAAGGTGTTTATCTGCCTTGTTAAGATTGCCATGCGCCCTCCCGTGTTGGTCGCATGACTGAATTTCTGCGCTTTGAATAAGCATGTGTACCCCAGACCATTCGTCCCGGTGTTATCGCTATCGCCACACGAGACTCCAGCTTGTCTCCTATACAATTTGACTGCGCACATCCAGAAAGTAGATGTAGCTGTGATTGGTGGAATACTAATGAGTTGAGTGTCAATCAAACGCCCACGCTATCTTTAGTAAACAAAGTCACGTGACACGCGCCATTTTAGTTTTGATTAGTTCATCGGATCGGAGTGGTCGGGCAGGCGATTTCAAGGCAGCACGCTTAACCCTTTCGTTCACAGGTTGGGAGATATTAGAATGACTGACAATTTCACGCCACTGTTTTACATTATTGGCGGATTTTTCTGCGCTATCAATCTTTCTCTTACAAACTAGACATAGATGAGACGACAGAGTCGCTCCTTTCACAACGTCGCACTGGATCAAATTGGAAAGACGATTTCCATAAGTTATCCCTCCTGCTTTTCCTGGCTTGAATAAATTCACACACGACTTTAACTGTCCACAAACTCGAAGATTACACGAACACAGTCTACAATAGTCGTCCGCAACAATATGTATGTATTTCTTCGGTGTACTGATGCACGAATGCACCGTGACACGGTGTTTCTCGGGTG